GTTCTTGCTCCTAGTAGCGATGCCAGGAGCCCCTAGTAGCGTTCTTGTTCTTAGTAAAGTTTGAAAGTCTCAACAATTTCGAGATCTTGAGGGGCGCGCCTCCTTCATCAGATCATCGACCTCTTGCAAAGCACAAGACCAGCCCTTCAGCTCATTTTCTTGCTTCTATAAACTATAAACCCTTGCTAGACAAGGCCTCGCCCTTTCAAGTCAAACTGCTAGCAACAAATCCTCCAAGAGTCCATGGCGAGAAAACTTATCTATAAGTATTTCAACTATTTTTTCTGTACGAAATGTGAATAGTTCTCTAGGTTCCGCAGCTCACAGCTTGGAACTAACTTGGAACCGACATCCGAAATTGCAAATACGCACTGCAATGGTGCTAAATGCTGGAAGCATCCCTTGATGCTTCACATGATTTCTGTGCCATGGTGGCCAAGCCTGTTGTTCTGCTTCAGATCGCGCCCTTTGCAAACTCCAGCGTAGCTCCACCAACTGCAAGCAGGTCTGGGAGCCACGGAGGCCCGCTGCTCCGGTCCGGGCCCACACAAAAAGGTTAGCTATGTCAACTTCACTCACACAGCACCGCAGACGAGACATCTGTAAACACAGTATGTAAACAATACGTTGAATTCAAAGAAAGAGCTCATCACATTGCACACAGAGGGACATCGGGATGGTGGCCTACATGACATGCCTGGCATATCCTGGCATATCGGTTCCCGGAATCGGCCTCTTGTTCGGCTTTGAGGATCATCTCTGCCTGCAAGAAGATTGGTTTGGTGCAACACCTACCAGCCCACAAACTGCTGCTTATCCAATCATGTGCAACAAAACAGCATCTAAGAATACTGTCAAAGAAACAATCTCGATACGTTAGCAAAACCGGCCTCTGCTTCAATATCAACCTTCCAAGCCATTGGCGACAACTCCGGCTATAGAAGTCCCGAGACCGCAAAACAACCAAACCACCAGCATGGTCTAAAGGCAAATCAGCTTAGCACAACGCTCTCTTTTGACCAAAACACAAAGAACTGCACAAAAAACACAAGATCACTCACAAAACCATCCGCACCGTCCCAAACCTTACTCTCTTCAGTTCCAAGCGTCTTCCATACTTCGGCTCACGTCATTTGTTGGGCATGCGCAGGTCAAAAGAACCATCTTGGCCAAAAGCCTGTGCATGGCACGTCTTCAAATCTTGTGCAAGATACGTAGATGTGGCTTGGAGTCTAAACTGCCCATGCAACCTCCTTCCGTGGTCACAAGTCTGGAAATAGGCAACGAAGACTACAAGCTGTCCACGCCTTTCACCCAGTGAACTGACATGACAAAACCCGAGCTTCTAATGCTCGGTGGGCTCTTCTTCTTTTCTGATTTCTACCGGAGCTGCCTGAGGCTGCCTCAAGCTCAGACTCTGAAGCACAGGGAAAACGAGCCAAACACTGCGTCTCAGGAGGACCACAGAATCAGGAGGAAAAAGAAGGGCCCGAGAGTTCACTCACACGTGGGATCTCCAATGGTCCAACTTGCAGCTCTACTCGATGAAGTGTCCAAGCAAAAACAATGGCACACCAGCTCCAAACCAGCTCCACAGCTTTCCAAAGGCCTCTCTTCTGGCCGTTTGAAGCAATCTGGCACCACGGAAGCTCAAAATGACATCTCAGTGACACATAGGCAAAGCAAGATTATCCGGAATGCAACCGGTCAGTGAATGATAAAGTTTTGATATATTTCTCAACCCAGCGCCTTGGAATTCGCTTCGGGTCACGTTGGGAAGCCTGGACCAGACTGGTGAAAAGTGGATAGACTGCTGTCAATCAAGAACATCGATCTTGGTTTGATCAATTCTTGATGTCTTGGATCATCTTAGATCAAAGGTTGTCAAAGGTCGCTATTTGGCCGCGAAGCTTCTGTCTTGGGCGTTGGGACGAAGCATGTGGGGGATCCTGACACCAGAAGTTCAGAACAGTCGGAAAAAGACTGCCAACATGTCAAAGAACCGTTGTTCTCCTCTTTGGGTTCCATGTTCCAGCGAGTCGATGGCTGATCAATGTGTTTGCAAGTTGTTGGATTCAAAAATATGTGGCAATAGAGTTCATGCTCTGAAAAAAATGCGATCCATGCATTTGCGAGGCAAGAGTTTCCACATGTTTCCACCATACCTGCCCTTGGGCCCCAGGGCTTGTTACGAACAGTGTAAATGTGCTGCAACCAAGTGGGGTACAACGGGTGATGCAAATGACATGCAAATGTGCGTTTCCTCCAAACAGCACAATTCTGTTTTTCAGGACCACCCATGAACAACTAGAGCAACAGTTAAGGAATTGTCACTGGCAATATTCAATCTTTCCAAGAACAACCATCGCTCCATTTTGGTGCCGCTCCATTTTGGAGCACCAATGCTTTCGACGTCTCTGTATCACCTGATCTGCAGCAACCATGAATCCGTTAAAGCAAAGACTTGGTTGAGTCAATATCCTATCCAGAATGGGTAATGAGACGACAATAAAATATGACAAACCCCAAAACGTTGTACCGAAGAACAAAACGAAGCTGAGCCAAGCCTTGGGACGCTTTAACCAAGGGTGCCAAGCCTTGGACACTGCCATGATCACAATGCTGGGGCAGGCTTCCAGCTTGATTTTCCATCTGATACAATTGAGCGCAAATTCCATTAAGGCCTTCATGGGCCTTCTATACTTCCACTCAACAAACACATAGAACCGCCAAGAAGCAGTGACATTACTGGGATACTAGGAAGGGACGTGTAGTTCTGCAAGGGATGACCTGTCTGGAAACTTGGTGCCTCCTCCATTGCAAGCAGCGCATGATAAAAGGGCTAACACTTCCACACCAATCTTTCCATTGACATCCATCAACGGATCTGAAGTCTGTCTCTTCTGGCCACGGAAAAAGAGTATCTGATTACTGATTTGAGATCAATTATGCATGGCCCTCGGATTCTTTGTCCTTCCAGCCTGGAGCAGCATCCTCCAATTACTCACAAGAAACTACAAGATACGACAAGTACCTAACCCGGCATCCAAATCACCACGCACAGTCCACCTGTATCTAGATCCACATCTCCCACCTCTCGGACATCGACGCCACCGTGTGCCGCGTGCAGTATTTTCGATCGAAAGGCCAAGAATCAATCTTGACGTTTTAAACTCGTGGCCTCCAGCCTACAAGTTTAAAATTGACTCCAAAAGAGACATCCTAAAACGGTCTTGTCTGTCAAGAGCCTAGGTCTTTGACCTTGTCTGGACAGCGCTTCGGCTTTGCTGTACAGCGGTATGAACTGTTCACACGGCGTCCAATCGTTGTAAGCCTTCAGACAGGCTTGACACGTTGTTGTTGGCACGCACTTCTACTTGCAGCTGTTGAGAGCTGCTCTGTGCAAATATGGCAGCTTGCACGCAGCAACCGGCCAATCTCTGGCTGGTGCTTAAGTGGAAATAATTTCTCGACCTGGTTGTCTGATTTCTTCAAGTTGTTTGCTCCATCCCAATTCGGAGGCAAGCCAGCGTATGCTCGTGTCACAGTCCCCTTGCAGGAAAACCTGCAGCCGTTGTAAGGATCCATATAACGCTGAAATGATTTCGTTTCCCCTGCCCTAGCCCAAATAAGAACTATCATAGAGGATGCGGTGCATCATGCGTTCGCACCAGTCTGGTAAAGTCGGTTGCAAATGATGCAAACGCATAAACACACCTTACAAGTACCTGAACATGTAAGGAAATTGCACTGATAGGGTCCCCCATGGTGCTACACCCTTAGGACGTTCAAAATGCCCAGATTCTCTGACCCTGGCAGCCCTGGGCCTCCTTCCTGAGCTTCTTTCCGGTGAGCCGAGATTGAAGAGATCGCACCTGTCGATGTAAACTGAGGCTTCGAGGCAGCTCACGGTTCACGACCAGAATCGCGCAATTCGACTTCACCAATTTGGGCAAGGAGGCAAACGGATGCACCTGGTTGAGGCGAATGGACAATATTTTTACACCCCAAGCAAAACTGCCAGACTTGAATCCACGTTGAAGAGTTTGTAAAGTCTTGCTTTTAATACAAGTATTGAAACGCGTCAAAGCGATTCAATTCAACCATTCAAAGCAAGCGTGCCGACCCAAAAACTGCCTGCAATGATGTGCCCATGATGATCAACAAATCTGCTTCCTGGAAATCTGGAGTAGATGACGTTTGAAAACTTGTGGGCAAAGGCTCGCCAAAAAGGACTATGTCAGGACGTAGCAAGCCACCACAGTGGCAGCGAGGAACACCTTCACCCTTCCAGTCAAAATAGTCCTGCAACACCATTGACACTTAGAGTCTGTTGGTCAAGAACGGCACCATTCCAAAAGTAGATCACTAAATCATGGAATATCACAAGAAGAAACCAGAAGTACCAACTGCTACCAAGCTTAGTAGGTCAAACTCTTTTACTTGCTCCAAGATTGAGGGTGAATGATTGGACACTGGGCAGCAATGCGGCCAAAGTCCAGAATCAAAAAGTATCCTCAAGGATTCCATAATCTGTTGCTTCGGGCTTATACACAACAGTTGACTGACAAAACTTGACTCAAGGTGGAACACAACAACCATTTCCAAAAAATAACCCCGAGAGAATGGAGCAGCAGAAGTCCAGGTGAGAAGCAAAGCAAAATCAATGACACGGATAAAAGCCCACAAGCAAGAGAGAAAGAGAGAGAGAGAGAGGTAGATAGAGCTCTCTCACCCATCCTATCATTCAAGGAACTACAAGACCTAAAGCAGGC